TGGTATGTTTGCCTAACACATTGTGGTTTTGGGAAAGGGGTGAGTCGCCAAACACGATCTATTGGGCCTTCTTGCCCTTGGAGTTAGAGGTTGTGCGGGATCTAAGGATTCTTTTGGCTATGGCTGGTGTCTCGACTTTAGTGAAGAAGACTTTCGCATTGACCAAGTTGCACTCCTCGGTGCACACACTAAAACATGAAAATTTAACCGGCTTAGGCCTTGCACTTTGCAGGAGTCGGCCATGCCGTCTCTAACGCCAGTAAAGGGGCAAAGTTCTTGGAACGGCCAGCCCAAGTGTAACTACCTTGACCGGCATGTTGACTTTGCTCCGGGAGCAGGGGTCTCCTCCTCGCTCTTCACCGTCTTATGGCTTGCTTTATATGGAACATTCTGTACGGCTTCATCTTCTTCAACCTTCATCGATTATGTACCAAACTGGTGGTTAGTCGCCTTACCGCACCGTCAGCTACTTTCTTTGTCGGACAGCATACTGGTCTATCCCCCTCCTTCTAACACCAATTATTCGGAAGAAAATTATGAATTGCTTGTGTGAGGGTGTGTGTTCGTCCAGGTTGTAGAGCTAAGCCTCTCCAATTCATCCTCTGGGGATGAGTAGTATGCGGCGGGGTGAGAGTCTGTCAAGATCTTGCAAGCATTCAAGACGGGTGAGCCAGGCCTTTGTGAGACTGGAAAGGGGTTTTCCCTCTGGAAGATTCTATAACGCTCAAGTTAGATCACACCTCACCAGGAACAGATACTTGGAAGAATAGATATGTGATGGTGTTATGGTTTTGATATCCTGTATGTGGATCATGGTACCTGTTTACTATTTGGAGAATAGGGAAATGTGAGGTAAATGGACCATTGGAAAAGTGGGGTTGGAACTTTCTCTTGATGGGGATAAAGCAATGGTTTGGTTGAGAAGGAATAACTTATCTTGGTTGGTGTTCATTCCAGAGAACGTTGAACATATTCTATTCAGTTTCACCGCTAAGTTTGATTGGTCGGTTGGGTCCTACTGCTAGAATTGGATGTTCCAATCATATCTTTACTTCTTATTTCTTTTATGCAATCTATTCTTTTTATGTTGTTTGTTTCATTCACCATGTCTGAGTAGTTTGTTAGTTAAGTTAGGGCTTTTCAAAGGTTAAAGAAGAGTTTGTAGAATTGCTAAACTATTAGGAAAACCCTTTGGTTCTTCATATGTGCTTGCATTCATATCAATTTCTTAGACACATCATCTGGATTTTGAAATCCTAGGTTGTTTGATAGATGCGAGAGCATTATTAATCACCTGAACTAGTACTAGATGAGCAAAATGCCCAGGAGTTTTGTGAACAATTGAACCTGATCATTACTGCATGTTTAGGTTGTTAGGGTTTGCAAAGAGATTTGAAACTCTGTGATTTAGGCATAGTTAATTTCTGCAATGAGAATTGATTAGTTATATCTTTGTGTTTCATGTTCAAAATGGTTTTAATTCATTCCTTATTGCACGCATTCTACACTCTTGGATTCAACCTGGGAATTGTCCTGACTTAGCGTCTTTAACTTTCTGAACTTTAAGAACAAGCATAAAATGCCCACTTGCATTTATTTTACTGTTTCATATTACATTCACTACTTATTGCTTAACTTAATCTGAATTTTAACTCTTTAGTGTAGTTTACTTGCTCTCTTGAGATTCGATAACCCATTATACTACGATTACATTGCTGTGTACTTGCAGTAGTTTTATTTTGGTAAAACCTTAGCCCTATCACTTGCATTGCTCATAATAAGGCTGAAATTTTGGCCTCTTCAATCGTAACTTGTCCTTGGTATTGTCCCATTCCACCTTCTAAAAAATTACTTGTATTACTGCAGAAAATCCAACCATGACCCGATTTGCGATGATCGGCGTAAAAGGATGCATCATAGTTACATTTTGTCCAACCTGATGTAGGTCTCTGCCAATGTTTATGAACAGAAGTCTTCTATGGTCTGTTATTGAGCAAAATAACCTCCAACGCATTTTCTGATTCCCACCCATCGTCGGTTCAATATTAGCTCATTTTGGCTCTTCCAAAGTTGCTACATTATCCAGAATGGAAGTAGATGGTGATGTTTACTGATGTTAACATTCGAGTATAGGCCAAATAGAAATTCAAGTTTGTCTTCGATGGATATTGTAGAGTCAACAATGACTTGTAAAGGAATGCCAGTGTGTCGCCATATCATAGCAGCATATGGACAGGAGAAAAGGAGATGTTCACTTGTCTCATCTTGTAAACAACACCTTTGACAGAGTGGATTCACATTTATCTGTCTCCGGTGTAGGTTGGCATTAACACCGATAGCACGAGAACAAACACGCCATAAAAAGTGCTTTAATTTCCCAGGTATATCAGTGCGCCAGATGTTTTTTGCTAATACAGGTTGCGATGCTAAAGGAGGTTCTGATTCCAAATTTGAAATACTTACAGTCAGGTGATAGCCCAATTTAACAGAGTAGATACCAATATTCATATATTGCAAGACATGGAATCTGGAACTGACCAGGGAGGAAGGAAAATTTCTTGAATATGATGATGATCCTCTTGCTCAATGAAATCCTTGAGCATTTCTTCATCCCAATGCCAGGCGGAGTTGTGAATAAGTATTTGGACTGGTAATGTAAGATTAGTAAAAGGTAGTAGACGTGGAGGTTTGGGAGGGTTGGTGGGAATCCAGTTTGAGCTTAACTTAGTGTCCAATCTGTCACCTATTTGAGATTGTTGACCTAAATATAATAAGTTGCATCCAAATAGAAGAGATTGCCAGTCGTACGAAGGTTGTGAACCTTTGTTTGCTGATAGTATTGTTCCATATGAAAATAAAACTTTTTAAATCTCTGTGTAATAGGCAGTGTGGTCTTTGTTGGAGTTTCCAAACTTGGTTGGCAAGCAAAACCTGATTGGATTAGTGTAGATTACGAAACCCGAATCCCCATGTATATTTAGAAGTAGATAATTTTTGCCAAGAAACCCATGACATTTTGCGGTGTTATGTTGTTCCTCCCCGCCAGAATCTTGAGAGTAGACTATCAAGGTCGGAGCATAGTTCCATGGGTAGTTGGAAACAATCATCAAGTAAACTGGCATGGTGAATGCAACTGATTTTATCAGGGTTTCTTTTTCTGCTGTAAAGAGAAACTGGTTTTACCAACCATTGATCTTGCCAAAGATATTATCCTTAATGTATTGAAATATCTCCTTTTTCTTGCGCCTAAATTGCTCTAGAAGACCAAGATATTTATGTCCACCCCCGACATTAGGAATGCATAGAGGTTGTTTTATACTTTCTCGAGTGTGATGCTAAACATGTTTACCAAATGTGATGGCTGATTTATCAAAATTTATTATCTGACCTGAAGCTTTCCAATATAACTGAAAAATCTGTGCTAAATTCTGACTATTTCGAAGGTCCGCTTTTAAAAAGAAAAGGGAGTCATCCGCAAATAGAAGGTGTGAGATGGGAGGGCCTCTAATGCTCAAACGTATAGATTGAATAGCTTGAGACCTTGTTGCAGCTTCTATCAAAGAGCTTAGGACATCCGCACACAAAATTAAGAGGTAAGGAGAGAGAGGATCACCTTGTCTAAGACCTCGTTCACGTGTAAAATTTTCATAAGGGCTGCTGTTGATCATAACTGAAAAAGATACTGAAGAAGCGTAAATCATTATCCATTGTATATATCTCTGTAAATCCTTTTTTACGTAGAACTTCTTGTAGAAATTTCCATTCATAAGCTATGCTTATGTTAGTCTTTATCAGCATATAAGAATTTGCACAACGTTTACGTACTCATAAAGAGTGGAGAGTTTCGTGTACTAGTAGAACATTGTTAGTAATTTTCTATCTGGAAATAAAAACAACTTGGTGTTCTGAGACGACTTGAGAGAGAATACATTTGAAGCGCATGACAAGGATTTTGGAGATGGCTTTGTAGAGAACATTACAATTGGTCGAAAAACCTTCATTGTTGTTGGCGTATCTATCTCAGGCAATAGGCATAAATTTGTGTGGTGTTATTCAGGCTCCATAACTCCAGTTGTAAAGAACCGCCTGGACTAATGATATCCCAATAAGTTTGAAAGAAATCTGTAGTGAAACCATCTAGACCTGGAGCTTTTGTGCCGTCAATTGAGAAAATTGCTTGTTGATCTTCCTCGGTGGTGATATATTTTATCAGCGATGTATTTATTTCTTCTGTAACGACTAGACCAATATTTTGTAAAGCGTTGGCGATATCTGCATCATTATGAGAGGATTGAAAAAGATTTGAAAAATATCGTTTTCCTTCTTTAGCAAAAGCTTTATTGCCTGCCGTATAAAAAAAATTATACATATAGAATGAAGTTCAAAAAGTATTATTTTGTTTGGTAAAAAATTATAAAAAATTTTATGTGTTTATATATATGTAGATTATATTTTTCTTTTTCTTTAAAAATTAGTATTTTAACTTTTTTTCTATTTTTAAATTGAAATATTTCCTTTTATTTACTTTATTTTGATCTATAGAATGAAGCTCAAAAAATATTATTTTGGTTGGTAAAAAATTATGAGAAATTTTATGTGTTTATATAAATATAGATTGTATTTTTTTAGCTTTCTTTCCTTTTCTAAATTGAAATATCTTATTTTATTAATTTTTGTTTTTACTTATGAACTTAAAAAATATTATTTTGATTGGTGAAAATGATAACAGATTTTATATGTTTATATATATGCGAATTATATTTTTCTTGATTAGTGTGGTAGTTTTTTTTTAAAATTATATATATATTTTTAGAATTAGTATTTTAAATTATTTTATTTTTCTAAACTAAAATATATATTTTTATTTTTTTTACTTTTAATTTAATTATGACATATATTAAAATCTAATATATTGACTAACTACTTATCGTAATTATGTGAAAATATAATTTTATATAATAAGATAAGTAGATTAAGAGTATTTTGGTAATATCTCACCACAAAAATTACAACCTAAAGTTTCCGTCTTCCTCTCTACCTCCGAAATAACAGTTCACACACTTCACAGCATTTCTCTTTTTGATTCACTCAAAGCCCTAAAAAGCTTCACGCAGGGTTTAAAGGAAAAGTGCTTCAACGCCCTTTTTGTTGTTCTTCCCTCTCTCTCTATCTTCTCAAACTTGCAGCCTGCAGGTAAAGCTTATTAAATCTTCCTGTTTGACCAAAGTCTGCTTCCGCACCCTTCCCAATCCCTCCCGTAGTTTCGTTTTCTAAGATTACTCGTTAATTGTTGCATCCCCTCGACCTATAAACCCTAATTTCGAGTGATCATCTCATTTTGCAGACTTCACATCCTCAGAAACCGGGCTCTGATTGAAGATGAACTCACTCGCAATCCGAGTCTCCAAGCTTATCAGATCCTCTCCAGTATCTCCTCTAGGTACTCTCTCTTCTTCGTCTTCCATTTCACCTAAATAATCTGCTTCTTGTTCGTGTTAAAACCCTTAATTTCTGAAATGTGTATGATTCATTCAACTGTTTCTTCTTGTGTTTCTGTGAGTGTAGCAGTAACTGCTGAGAGAGGCTCGAGATCGTGGTTCTCGACTGGTCCAATCGATGAAGGTGTGGAAGAAGATTTTGAAGAAACCATCTCATCAGAGAGACCCGAGCTTCAGCCTCATGGAGTTGATCCCCGTAAAGGTTGGGGATTTCGCGGTGTCCATAGGGTAAAAAGGATTAATCTTTCATTCTTATTGCTAAACGCTGAAGAACATTAGAATCAAGTTAAGCTTATCTAAGTGTTCAATTGCTTGTTTCTGTTGGTCCTATTGCAGCAAAAATCCGATCAAAAAGAAAGAGTTAATCTTTTACACTTAGTGTTAAGCAATTTGAGCTGAAGAACATTAGAATCAAACTAGGCTTATCTAAGTCTTCAAATGCTTGTTTCTATTGCTCCCATTGCTGCAAAAGCCGATTAAAAAGAAAGTACTTTTTTTTGTAGAAGTTGATGACAGAATCATAGTTCATGACCTGAGTTATCTTGTCGCAATATCATTTCATCTACTTCTCTTTTGCTATTGCTTTCTTGTAGTTCATATGATTGTTAATGTTCTCTGATTTGCTGCAGGCGATAATTTGTGGGAAAGTAGGGCAAGCACCGTTACAGAAGATCTTGAGGAACGGTCGAACAGTGACGATCTTCACGGTGGGAACAGGAGGCATGTTTGATCAGAGGCTTATGGGAGCAACAAATCAGCCAAAACCAGCTCAATGGCATAGAATCGCAGTGCACAACGAAGTTCTGGGCTCTTACGCTGTCCAAAAACTCGCTAAAAAGTAAGCTTTGCTAAACTCGTAAAACTATCACAAAATTGGAATTTGTATCAACAATAGTTATCAGTTGTGCAGATTCACTTTTACATTCACAATTATCTTTCCCTGTCTTCATTTGGTTTGTTTGTTGTCGATTTTGCTCGATTGGTTATGGTGTCAGTTAATGAATTGACTAGAAAGGTGTCAGTTTTTAATTTTATCTAAGCTTTTCTTGCTTGTTTTTTTTTTACAGCTCATCGGTTTATGTTGAAGGAGATATTGAGACTAGAGTGTATAATGATAGCATCAGTAGTGAAGTGAAGAGCATCCCTGAGATTTGCATTCGTCGTGATGGTATGTATGTTCATATATTGTTGATTCTGATCATCGATTTATCATCCGGTTTCTTGCTGATATATTCGATTCTTTATGTATTTTTTTTTGTAGGTAAGATTCGGCTGATCAAATACGGAGAAAGCATTAGCAAAATATCTTTCGATGAGCTAAGTAAGTTCTCATTTTTATTTTTATTAACCTAAGAATGAGATATTTGTTTTTATTGCTTAATCTTTTGTTCGTCCATTTGGCAGAAGAAGGATTGATTTAGTCGGAGCAAGAATATTCCGGTGGCCGGAGGGCAGACTGACTCATCGTTTTCCTGAGTAAAATCGACAAAACAGTTTGGTTTTGCAACTTTTAGTCCATTGTGATTATCAGGGGCATCTATGTCATTTCGATCAAAACTAAATCAGTTCTGCGTCTGTTCGTTAGGAGATTGGTAACAACAACAGTTAATCAAAGAAGAATTTAAAACACTTTAGGTAACATTACGATTTGGGCTTAAAGGCCCATAAAAGATTAGACGAAGTTGTTAATCTCCAAAACTTTTGGGGCCAAGTTCGTTTGATATTACTCATGGTTTAGTCCCAAATCGTCGTCTCTCATTAATTTTTTGACATCTGTTTCAATGAGTTGTATATTTCCAAGGCATTGTGCATGTCTGCCTTTAGCTATCACGTTGCCAGTTGTCACTATGCATTTCTCGATCGGAGTTGAAAACAAGAGACTAAATGTCTCTCAAGGACATAAATAAATAAGACATGCAGCTTGGTTTTACAAACTCTTTCTATGAACACTACACTCTACACTCTACGCTCAAAAGATGTGGATATCTCAAGTCTTTCATGATATATTCAATAAAAAAAAAGTGGGTGGGTATAGATTTGGGAATGACTTACATCAAATATACCATAGCTACAAATCAAAAGGAGGTCGATGCTGCCTTAAAAATTCTAAAATCAAATTCCAAGAACCGTAAGAAGTTGATCGGTTTGAGCATGGGACCAAGTCAAGAACCAAGCCAAGAAGAATGGTCAACTTATATTCTCCTTTGCGATGGAAGTCGATGCGTTATAATTAAGCTTTCTTCCTTAGATGTGATACCCAAATCTCTCTACGAGTTCATCACTATTTCGAGCTTTACTTTCGTAGGTTTTAAGATAAAGGATACAATTGCTCCTAGACTCCAGAAGTATGGTTTGGTGTGTGGGAAAGTCCTCGAGGCTTGGCCATTGTTTCCTGAAACGTTAACTATGCTTTTGTCACTGCGTCCAGGAGATCGTAAGATGAACTCAGGTGTTTCCGTTACTAACGAAGATAATCTTTCTGTGGACTTTATCTCAAAAGCATATTCTGCGTTTTATGTTGGAGACATGCGTTCTTATTCTTATTCAATTCTATCTTATGACAGAGCTCGTTGTTTTGGTTTTATGTACAAAAAAAAAACAGATGAAATAGTTTTTATGTATCAACTTCGACTTCCCTTTTAATTTTACGAAAATTTGAGGGCTAAGTAGCGGTTGAGGGTTGCGATGTTGTTAATTTCGTCTTCATGTGTTCGGTGTCATTCTAGTTCATGTTTCTTTTTGTGTTCTTGGTTCATATAGATGACAAAGGCTATCTTTACCTAAATAAACCATTTCTCTAACTGCTTTGCTACCTGTGTGTAACATAAAAAATGAAATTGTGATCACATATGCTTACTGACTTTGATTAAATATTGCAAGAAAACTCATTGCATCTCTCACTTTCCTCTGAAAGTCGTTCTCGCAAAAATGGAAAAATTCTAGTTTTCTTTATACATCTTCTTCCTGTAGTAATCGGATGTGGTCTTTCCCATTCAAACACGGACCCATAGGTGATTTGGTATATACATGGATTTGTCAACCAAGTCACAAGAGGTCATACGGAAAATTGTTTCGTGTAGACCACTTATTTGATTCTTTCCCTTGGAACAACTCTCAGTGAAAGTTAGAGGCTTGTAATTTTAATTAGTTTACTCGATGCTTCAGAGATTAGATTGGTATCGAATCCACTATCCTCTTAATTATATCCTTTAATTATTTATTTTTATTATCTTCTATGTTAGTTTTTATTTCAATGTTGTTGCTTTTTTTGGGGTTAAATTTGTTATTTTGTACTCCCTCTATTTTATATCAAGTTGTTTTGGGTAAAAACATAAAAAATTAACCTTTATTTTAGAAAATATTTTAGTTAACAAATAAACTAAATATAATTCGTTCAATTATAAAATAAACTGTATAGTATTATTGACTATATAATATTCAATAAAGTTAAAGTGATATTGAGTGAAAATAATTTAACTACATTTTGAAACAAAATTATTCTTCTGAAACAATTTATATTGTAAAACAGAAAAATATATATTTAAAATTCTTGAATTTGGAAAACAAAATACGATAAATAAATAATATTAACTTGGTAATATCACATAGAAGGTAACCAAACAAGCAAATAAAAATAATAATGAAAAATACATATCCAAGCAGAATGATTCTTTGGTCAAAAGCTTTGATTCATAGTTTGTTATATATTTTCCTCTCACTGTTCTTTAAATTCAATCATTGGCCAAACACCTTGATGTTATTCTATTCATGGTGTTGATGACACATACGATTCTTATAGTATTACTATTATCGTATTATGTCTGCAGAAACTAAATACAAATATATGTTTGTCGATGCGTTATAACTATGCTTTCTTCCTTACATGTTATACCAAGTCTACAGAGCTGTACCAACCTCATTTAATACCATAAACAATTTTTTTTTAAATGCCCTTATTTATATATTTTTATAATAATAAATATAATTATTACATAGTAAAAATAATAAAAGAAAACTAAATAAATTAAATTTTAGTTCTAAAACCTTTTTTCTTCAAAAATATTGATCAAAATTTTAATTTCTTTTTTTATCAGTTATGGATGAAAACTATTTTAAAAAATAATAAAATAATCAAAAAAGAGAAAGTTAAATATATATATATATCATTTTGATTATATCTAATTGTTAGAAAAATATAGCAAAAAATTTATTAATAAACTTCGTAATGTTAGATCAGTGCAAGTAGAAAAATGGAAAGAAAGAAATTATATGGTTTAATTTTTCCCCTACTTTAATTATTTGATTTTTTTAGGTCATTTTCTCTAATAATAATTTGACTTATTGTTGTTAGTTTCTCAATTGTAAACTCATACATATATATATATATATATATAAACCTATATCCATATTTGAGATTAATACAATATAACTAATAATAAAAATAGATTATTAAATCTTTTTAAAAAAATTACTGCCCTATGATTTAAACAATAATTTGCTGCCCTAAACTAAAGTTTCTTTTAAATACATGTAGTCACGGCTCTGCAAGTCTCTCTACGAGTTTCCTAAAACGATAACTATGCTTTTTGTCACTGCGTGCGTGTTTCCGTTACTAACGAAGTTAATCTTTCTGTGTGGTCTCTAATCCGAAAGGGATCTTTTTGAGCGAGTCCCAATCAGAAATGGACACAAAATCTCACTATATACGTATGAGCACATAAGAGTTTAAAATTTCATCCTATAAGAAAACTATATTTCACACTTTTGAACTCTAAAAAGTGATGTTGTATAGTGAACTAAATTCCATTTTTTGTTGCAAAAAGCTTTACAATCTCTTTTTTTTTTTACATTGTAGAAAAGCTTCACTATCTCAATTTAGCAAATCATAAATATAATTTGCTATAGTGCTAAGTACTAACAGCTAAATTTACGTCCAAAATTAAATGTTAGAAATTTTCAATTTTTCATATAATGAGATTATTTTACAAAAAATAGTATAATTTTTTTATTGTTATAGTCGACAAAAAAACTGTTATACATAAATATCATAGATTAATGCTTAGATAAGTTATAACATACTACCTCGTCGTATAAAAACTAGTTGGTGAGTGTACGAACTAAGCAAGGAAATTAGCGAACAATGAACTAGCATAAAAATAAAAGAAGGGAATTAAGAAGGAAACAATGAAATAAGCAAAGAAGAAATGACGAAAACAAGCAAAAGATGAAAGCAATGAAAAGCAAAGTAGCAAATTAAGAAAGAAACAATGAAATAAGCAGCAAGGAGAAAAAAACAATCAAGGAAACATGGAAGCAAAGAAGGAAAAACGAAAACAAGCAAAAGATGTAAGCAAAGAAAGTTAAGGAAATAAGCAAACAATGAGGCAAAATTGAAATAAGGAAATAAGGTAGCAAATGTTCAAAAATAAAAATTGAAACAAGGAAAGAAAAATAAAACAATCAAGGAAACATGAAAACAAGCAACAGAAGCAAAAAGCAAAGAACGAAGTAAGTATACAAAGCAAGGTTTCAACTCATGGATGCAAATATGCGTGTATGAATCTGAATATGAATGCATGAATTTGAAATGTTTCCGAGATTCAAGATATATTTAACAAAGATTTCGGTATTGTCGAATTATTTGGTCTATGAGATGATCACATTGGCTATAAAATCGGTTACTGCATAAAAACAAAAAAGAAAAATCAAAGATTAAGTTGGAAAAGAAACAATTGAAGACATACTAGAAGATGGAGCTTGGCTAGAGGTTGTCTCTCAAGCATTATATATGATCTACAAATAAGCATATACTGTGCCACCAAGGCTCCAATTTTATAACACATCAGAGGCTTATAATGTAATTACAAGATTAATTTTAAAAACCATCTAAATAGAGGTATACTATTGAAATTGCCCTTTCTTTATTAACATTATCGCAGATAAGAGGACCTATCAATATTTAGATTATATGAAAACAAATTGTCCTATGTTGTATTAGAATTATTTCTTGTTTGGTTTGACCTGGCTGTATATTGACTCAAGACAAGATAAAACGGTAATACCTCGTTTAATTTGGTATAGTAACTTTGAATGTAAACCGAGGATAGACGATTTATTGGGTTTTGGTGCGCTTGGAACTCCTATAAATTAAAAAATAACTGGGAGGAAACAAGAACAGAGTTTTGCATGAATGGTAAGTGAATCAGTGATGAAGTCTTACCTTATACATTCTTCATGAAACGAGTCAACACGTAATTCTTCAGTCCAAACTATGCTGGAGATTTGTAAAGTGTGGTTTTCCTGTAGAGTGTATGTATGAGGTTCCATATTGGGAGCATCTCATAGAGAAGTCAATGGTTTTGAAATCGGTTGCTGCAGAAGCAAATATACAAAACATCAAACGCTAAAAGTAAATTTAAAAGAATAAGAAGAAGAGAAAGACAGAAGAGGACATACCTCAGAAAAGAGAGAGAGAGTCGCAAACCGCACCTTCCCATCATTGAGAAGAGAAATTTATTCAAATAGTTTAATAGCATCAAAATAACATAGTAATCCAACAACAAAAACAGACTTGGAACTTGGAATTGATTGTATGCATATAAAGGCTAACTCTTCGAAGATTTATGAAACATAACACAAATGTGCAGACAAAT